GAAATTATCGTCCATTGACTGGAGATACCATTAGGTAATTTTGGACTCGTTTTTCCTGTTTTTAGACCATTTTGAGCAGGTTAAAAAGTGAGAGCTTTGGAAAAATCCGTGAAAATGTCTGTTTTTTGTTCAAAATATCTCAAGTTTTAACTAAATGGCAGGTTTTCGTGTTATTAATATAGACGTTCATCCATTGGGGTCACGCACGCCAAATATCTACCCCGTGAGTCTTTTCTTGAAAGTTTTACAGACGTTCAACCTGGTCCGGTCGAAGAAAAAATGCTGCCGTTGTAGGCAGATACTATTTTAAATGCTGCCGTCGATGGCAGAAATACCATGAAAGTGGCTAACATTCTGACAGAAAATCAAGGTCAATCTTTTATCATTCCTTTATTCTTTGCGCCCTTTTAGTCGGAATTGAGACGTTAAACTATCGTTTCTAATATTTTCTCAAGCTAATTATTTGTGCAACATCTTACACATCATCATGTAACATGAAACGCTAAAATATTTGCTTGTAACTTATTGTTTTTGAAATCCTCCGTAATAGGAGATCCAAAGCCAATAACTCTAGCATATGTAATTTGACAGAATTATGGCCCATTCTGAACAAAACAATTTACTGTTTTTTTTTCCATGTAATATCATTGAAGATTAATGATCATTTGTACTGAAGGTACACACTGATTGGAAACTAAATACATGTCTTCGGGTTTATTATTGGTTGTCGTTTTCGAAGACAAAAAATTTAATTATCCTGAACCCGTAACTCTAAAGCGGGTTTTACTGAATTGTGGCCCTGGTGAACTTGCTGAAGATCTTAATGTATGTCTTCGTCATTATTGTTGTGCATGTGGTATTTTAGTTCTTCCTATTTGGCATCTTTCTTGTTGGGTGGTTCCAATATTCCTCAATTGAATACTGTTGAATCACTCTTAGGATATGTGGCCTGCTTTTTAAATTTGTCTTTTGGCGTCATATATGTGATATGCAGGTTTCATAACCTCAGATCCTCTTTCTAAATTCTGTTTTATTTAGTTCCGCCAATTTTTTTCTCGTTTAGGGCATTACTATAGGGGACCATATTCCGCTTTTCATGGAATGGCACTAACGTGTCACATGGATGTTTCAAAATTATAAATTTTACCAGTTCATGTTATATGTTGTATTCTGCTTAAGCCGGTGCTAGGGGCATGGACGGTAGCTTGCACTTGACAGTACCGTCCATGAACAGGCTCAATAAAACCAAGCCTGCAACATTTTCAATTTGGCCGTGTTGGGCTTTCTTTACGGATTCTTATTCCTCTATTATTTCGTCACCATAAATAGAGGTCACAATTCAAGGACCATTACTCTGACATATTTTGAATGTTCAATATCCTTTTGCTAACTTGAAAAATTCTTTATTAAGGCTTAGTATGTATCATCAATTTTCAGACCAAATGAAGGCAATTAATAATATGAAACCAATTCAAATGTGTATATGTTTTCAGGATCATTTATTATTAGAGATCACTCTGTGAACCCCATGAATATAACATAGATTAGACTTAATAAACGGCCGTTTGTGAAAATAGAAAATTATTGGTTTAAGTTTAACAAGCAACATCAATATTCAGAACGACATGTATGTACCGGTGGTATTCATTTGACAAAAACATCAATTTGCGAAAGAAATCAAACACTCAAAATATTCACAATTTGATGAAAAAGCTATCACAACATAGTGAAAATGTAACGGAGCATGGTCACTCCACTCATTGAAAGAAAAACATCGGTCACTATTTGAAACATAATACACTGAACAACCGTAATGGGAATAAAATGTAATGTTTACAGCTATCACGTATTCTACCATTTATAGTTTAATGCGTAGATCAGTAGATTTACAAAAATCAAGCAATTTGATACCATGACTTTTGTGTACATGATCTTTTCAATGCCCTAACAGAAGCTTGATCAGGACATTAATCAGTGTCATAGTACTATTGTATGCAGGGTTATTATGTATCATATTTTGAAAAATTTATATTATAATTTTACAGTATCATATATTAAAGCAGCATGCCTCCAGACTCATCCTTATTTTCATGAAAATTTTGAAAATGTATTTAAAAGTAATATATTGTGGAGTGAACAAAGTAAGTATTTTACTCATTGGAAATGGCACTTGCAATTCACGAAAATTACAAAAAAAGAGGCCAAAATATGCACAAATAACCCAAACTGCGTTAGTCACATAGTAGAAATATGGTGATAAATTATTACTTGAATTGTTTTATTTTTCTGAAAATCTCTACATTTTCTCAAGTTTGATTTTCTTGAAATATCTGGCACATCTGGAGGCATGCAGCTTAAAATGGAGATTTACAAGGTATCTGTGAAGTTTCGGGTAGATACCTATATAGGTTGAAGAAATCATAACATTTTATGCCAACGTTAACGCATCGGTGTGAAAGAAAGTTCCACTATACTTCCAACATACGAGTGCTTAAATGTTCATTGCTGTAAAAAAAGGCATATGAAACAAATACCGGTATAAAAATGATCTTCCAATAATGATTAGTCATTTAATTAGAGGATTTAATCGGAAATATTATTCAGACATTGTTCAAGTACATTAATACTTTTGAACAAAATATTAGTAAACTTCAATGCAAAATACAAATGTGATTTGTAGCCATCTGCAGACAATGATTCCAATTACAGTTTAAGGAATTCACGTAAAGTATACACTCTAGTTATGAATGTTGACAGTATTGAAACAATCTGGACTTTTTCAGGCATACATCGGCACCTCCTACGTAGAGCAACAAGCTACCTATTTACTACAACAGCTAGTATAAAAGTAAGAATTCAAATGTGCAACAATTGTAAAAATGCAGCCTCTTTAGAGCAACAATTGTTATAATTGCAATAAAAACACAACAAGACAAGAGCCCCAACATTCCGCGCAGTCTGATCAGGATCCATGCTGTTCGCTTATTTACCCTGCGGATGCGCAGGCTGGTCTGGACCCATTATGTTGGTTTTGTCGTTTTGACAGCTCAAACATCATGTATAAATTTTTTCAAGGTCAAAAGTTAAAGCAGCATGCCTCTCTATTTAAGAGGTCCGTACTCCCAATGCCTGAAAGGGCGGATGGATCCTCATTAAGCATAGATATTTTAGCTCATCTGGAAACGTTAAACATAATTATAATAGAAAATAATTTCAAAATTATGACTTGCATTTCAGTTTGATTAATATAAATCAATTAAATCAAGGTTTTAATGAGCTGATTGCAGAGAAAATAAAACTTGCATGTATTTTGATATGACATACAATTGCCCCTATTCTGTGAACTCCTTTTATTATATTTATTTTGTGTAAACTGATAATTTCATAGACAATTTGCTAAAAATGGGAAATAACCTCTTCAAAAATCGTACATAATGTGTGTTGTCATATAGAAGCATGCCAAATAAAAAAAGAATCATTGAAATCCTTCAAATGTTATTCTGAAGGAGAAAAAAAAACAATAATTTCGCAGCCAAAATCAAGATTGATGCCAAATATAAATACCATCAAATGCTATGGAAACCAATTGTCTACGTTCAGACAGCATTATACAATATAATTACTTATTATTAATTACTTTCTTTCTGCATTTCACATTATTTTACTTTTACATACATTTTCAAATTTTCATGAAAATAAGCATGAATCTGGTGGCGTCCTGATTTAAGTACTGTGTACTTGATATTGTGCTAAATAATAAACCTTAGATATCAAATTAAATGTAAATTATGAATGACAATGCTACACGTAAAATGATACTACAGTTGCTTTGGATCATTCAAAACTTCCATAGCATAATTATTCATAATACGAAATACTATTTCTAATAAGGTAAGAATTTGTTTTGCTGTTTTATTAGGTTGTAAGTGTTGTAAAAACTGCCTTGCCGCGGGCCACAACATTGTCAACATAAAATCAAAATATGTCAATAAAAATGAAAAACATTTGTTTGTTTAACTCCCCCAGTCAAGTAGCATACAGATTTGATTCTAAAGGCTCAGGAATATTATTTGTTATTGTAATAGTTAAATATTTAATAAACCCATTCAAAATATTCGAGTTGTTTGCACTTATTGTAAACAACAAAATCACATGGGGTAGTGTAATTACGTAGAACAGTTACAATGGTCCACTGTCTGATAGTAAAAGCTTTGTAGGTTTGTTTTGTTTGTGTTGGGTTTTACGTCACATCGACACAGTATAGGTCATATCGCGACGTTCCAGCTTTACTGGTGGAGGAAGACTTTAGGTGCCCTTCCGTGCATTATTTCAGGCACGAACGGGCACATGCGTAGAACCACCGACGTTCCGTAAGCTAGCTGGATAGCTTCCTCACATGAAAGAATCCAAAGTCCCTGTCGAGATTCAAACCCACAGCGGTGAGGGGCAAGTGGTTTGAAGTCAACGACCTTTACCACTCGGCCACGGACGCCCCAGCTTTGTAGGTGAAGGTCTGTCAATGGTAAAGGTCAATTTGGTATAACCAAATGCGAGTTTTGACCTGAATGTTGTTTTGTTCAGGTTTAACTTAATACGTCAAATAGCAAAAATGTAGAAATTTCATAAAAAAAGATACCTTAAATATCATTGAAGTTTTAAATCAAAATCATTTCAGGTAGTATACATGTCATTTTGCGCAATATTAATAATATGTGTGCTTAAATTAGTAAGTTTTTCTAAATTTACAATAATTATAATTGGCCCAAAAAATATTAAAGTATTAATAATATATTGTCCAGTTTTTTTGATATCCATTATTTACAGGAAGGAACTACAATTGTTCTATTCTAGCACTGCACATTAAATTATTGGAACGTAATTTCAAAATGTTGTTCTATTCTTATACATGTATGTTATAACATGTTAAATAAGCAATTTATTTGCAACATGTTTATTATAAAAGATAATTTTAAACTGATTTATTTCTTTATTGATTCATTATATATCATTAATGTCCATGTAAACAAACATGTTAAAATATAACAGATAAATTATATCTTTTTGTCACATGCAAAACTATGTCAGGGAGAGAATTTCAATTTATAATGTCAAAGTTCACGTGTAGTTACTTCCCTTAGATTTTCACGTTTCATCAAGAATATGTTTTTTAACTTATTTTTTTTTACAAATTAACAAAATACATTTTTCTTAATCTGTTGAGGAGACCGACCCGGTCATCGTCTCTTATGCCATTGTATGGTTTGATTCTATTGTAAATTTACCATTGTATGGTCCCCATACCTAATATAGTTGCTAAGACGAACGGACAGACAATGTATTACTATATGCTAAGCTTCAACACCATAAAATAAAGAAAATTGTGATGATTTTGTTTGGATACACTTCTAGAGTCAATTAAATTGTGTACATTTATACATTTCCTATGCTATAGATATAAAATTATATATATTTTTGATCCTGATCTTTTCTAAATGTATCCAGTTACACCATTTACTAAATGTATACCATGGGACATGATCATTTTAAAATAATCGCTCTATTTAAATTAAATTTGATCCAAATACGTTCTGACAATAAAAACGACTTATTCAAAATCAATAATTTATTTCAAAAAAGAATTTACACAATTTCCTGATTTAATTATACAATTTTATGACAAAAGTATATACATGTACATGTAATATTATTAGTATGACATGAGTATCATGTATTTTAATTATCATCCTCCATTACAGAATTCTCGTTTTTGGACCTGAAGCATTTATTGAGACGTCTCCGTCTTCTGTAAGTAGGAGCATCTTCATCCTCTTCCACCCCAACGTTATCATCCTTAACCACTGGAAATAAAAAAAAAAGTCATGCCATAGCTTTAATTGAATCCAATAAAGGTCCATTAAACCTTAAACTACTTCGATTGAATCCATTAAAGATCCATTAAACTAAAACTGCTTTAACTGAATCCATTAAAGGCCCATTAAACCTGACACTGCTTAAATTGAATCCATTTAAGGCCCATTAAACCTTAAACTGCTCTCATTTTCCAAACCTTTATTTTTATTTTTAGAGCCTTGCTACAGTTTCTGTTACAGTTTCTAAACAGTATCTCAATGGCCAATATAGATTAGTCATATTTTTTGCTTCTTTTGCATTTTGGCTATAAGTACAATGTCAGATAGTAAGTCAATATTTTATATGAAAACAAAACTACCACTGTTATATATATATAACTGAACACCTTAAATCATGTAAATGGTTAAGTCATTCACACATTTTACAAACATCCATTATTACAACATAATTATACACATGTTTGTCCTGTATACAGAAGCAAAAACAAGCATATTCATTTCTGGGGTCTTATTTGCTGTTGATTCATACCAAATATTGAGATTTTATTTTATAGCTTGCTTCAGATATTTTGCATTTGTCCTCAAATCTGCCTTAAACTGTCAATGATTTGCTCAAAAAGGACTCATCAATCTTTAGTGACTATCTGCCGCACAAAACTACAAAATTTATATCTAGATTGTTTTACTTTAATTTATATATATTTATGTTGTGCTAACTAGCTAGTAAGTTTTCTCCTATAAAGGAGTCAAAATTCCCCGGCAGGTTTTGAATGTATAATTACGAGTGACATTTGACTAAATGTAAGACACTCTAAATTAAGTCTAAATACTCTGTCACTCAATAAATTAAGAAAATTGGCTGAAATAAGCCTACAATATAGTGTAGGAAACGAAGACCAGTTTGTAGGACCCTACTGGTCTATGTCTAGGAACAGTAAGTTTTATATACCAAAATGTTCACATGGGTTCACAAAATACGATACGGTATTTCATTTAATAAGGCTGTCACTGATGAAAATTAACAATATATTAAACTCATTTACAGGTAAAACCATTGAAATACATGAATAACCTGTCCTCATGGTGTTATGCATACTTGTATTAGTCATTAAAAATACAACATACAGACCACCCTTGGAGAAACCAGACATGTCCTTTTTAGACAAGTGGTCTTTATCTGGAGGTTACCTTATTCTTTAAAGTCAATGGAGTTGTCTTTATTCATAGGATGACCTTTTTTCCACAGGTAGTCTTTAAAACAGTTTTAACTGTATTATAAGGAAGTCCTTGACATCTTTTTGCAGACATAATCAAGATATTTGCTCATTACTGGGACAAATGGGTTATAAATTGTATTGATATTTAATCGAATCTTGAATATGGATGGTGTATCGATATATTGCAATATCAAATGACAGCCCTAGCTTTAATTAAGGAATGTGTCAGCATACCTGAGGTATCATTTTCCTGTGTTTCAATAAAACCTACAGACCAGAAGTGTGGTGGTGTGTCAGGAGGTACATATTGTGCTCGATGACGTGAACATTTGTGCATGTGCTGCTGTATCTCCTCGTCTGACCGACCGGCTGACTTGTAATACTGAAACAAGCAAGTAAAATGTTAACATTTAATTCTATTAAAATCATAATACTGCATGTTTTGTAACACCAATTTTCAATGAATACCTGTATTATTTTTCAAAGTATTATTCAGGAATTGTGCAGAATTATATCTTCAATTCCACTGTAAAATAACACAAAACTTCTGACATTTTACAATTATTTCACATGTTAAATTATCTGAAACAAGACACCTTAGCACAAGATTATTTAGCTATTCAATTTTATTCCACAACTGCTTTGTCTAGGATACAAGGCCTCGTCACATATAAGTTCATAAAAGTTTAATGTCATTGTCAAGGGTTTATGTCCTTGTCACAAACTCACAGACTTAGTTCCTTATCACAGACTTAGGTCCTTATCACAGATTTAGGTCCTTATCACAGACTTAGGTTCTTATCATAGATTTAGATCCTAGTCACTGTTTATTGTCTTTATCATGATAAAAACCTTTTCACATTTTTGAGGGTCATATTACAGTTTTAGGGCCTTTTAAGTATTCTATGTCCTTGTCAAAAGTTAAAGGTCTTGTAACAGTATTAGTGTTATTCAAAGTTTTTAGGACCTATTACTTTTTGTGGCGTCATTGCAGATTAAGGTCTATCTTTTAAAGTCATATCAAACTTTTGAGGCCATCCCTTCACAGTTTTAGGTTGTTGTAATCACATAAGGTCCTAGTCAAAGTGTGTTGTTTTTAGAAATTGGATCCAGCTGTATTACCTCGACACATTGTTTACAACCATGCCCCGGTAATTTTTGTCTCTCATCTCTCTTCCTAACAACAGCAACGTGGGCAATATCAGATGTCTTACTCTTAGGCAATCTGTAACAAAGTATTCAAACTCTCAAACCCATTTCTATGTCAAAGAGAAAACTAGTTTCAGAAGACATTATCACCATCATATTATCAATCAATTTGAACTATTAATAAAGACTTTTAACATGACTTTTCCATTTATAAACAAATAAAGTCCCGTTAGTCTATGAAAAGGTAATTGTTTGCCCACTGTTGTGGTAATTTGTAGTCCAATTCTCAATAATCCAAAATGCCTTTTTGAGCTTGAAAAAATGTATAAGAAAAAATGTATAAGAAAAAATAAGAACAAATCTATCACACATCCTGAATCAGCGTTTTTTTTTTCAATCCCCCCACTGAATAAGATTTACTACAATCATGTACCTGTAAAAGGCTTTAAATTATAGGATTTCTAAATAAGAAACCTGTGGTATTTTGTACTTGAATAATTACCTGTCAAAACTGTCATCAATGTTGACGGCAGGTTTTTTGGGATCTACATTTTCTATATCTGCAAAAAGCATAAAATAACATACAAATCATAATAAACAAGATATGTTTGTAAAACATGTATGCCCCCTATCAGCAGCCAATTAGTCATGTGATAAGGTTATTATGCATGACTTGTGACCCAGTGATCAAACAATTAATAAGGGTTATCAAGTATCTACTGGTCATGACCTTAACCTTTGACCCCTTGACCCAAAACTCAATCTATATAGGGGTTCATCTGCTGGTCACGACCAATCATCATACAAGTTTGAAGTTCCTAGGCCTAAGCGTTTTTAGTTAATTGATCAGAAACCGTTTTTAACATACAAGGTCAATGTGACCTTGACCTTTGGACCCCAAATCAATAGGGGTCATCTGCTGCTCATGACCAATCACCATGCCAAGTTTGAAGTTCCTAGGCCGAAGGGTTCTTTAGTTATTGATCAGAAACCGTTTTTACTTACAATGTCAATGTGACCTTGACCTTTGACCCTTGATCCCAAAATCAATAGGGGTAATCTGCTGGTCATGACAAATCACCATACAAGTTTGAAGTTCCTAGGCCTAAGCGTTCTTAAGTTATTGATCCAGAAACCGTTTTTACTTACAAGGTCAATGTGACCTTGACCTGTGGACCCCCTTGACCCAAAACTCAATAGGGGTCATCTGCTGGTCACGACCAATCATCATACAAAGTTTGAAGTTCCTAGGCCTTAAGCGTTTTGAGTTAATTGATCGGAAAATGTTTTTTACCTACAAGGTCAATGTGACCTTGACCTTTGACCCAAATCAATAGGTCATCTGCTGGTCATGACCAATCACCATACCAAGTTTGAAGTTCCTAGGCCTCAAGGGTTCTTAAGTTATTGATTGGAAAGCATTTTTACCTACAAGGTCAATGTGACCTTGCCCTTTGACCCCTTAACCCCAATATCAATAGGGTCATCTGCTGGTCATGACAATCACCATACCAAGTTTGAATTCCTAGGCCTAAGGGTTTTCTTTAGTTATTGATCGGAAACCGTTTTTAACCTACATGGGCAATGTGACCTTGACCTTTGACCCCTTAACCCCAAAATCAATAGGGGATCATCTGCTGGTCATAACCAATCACGGATACAAGTTTGAAGTTCTAGGCCTAAGGGTTCTTTTGTTATTGATCAGAAACCGTTTTTTACCCAAGAGATCAATGTGACCTTGAACTTTGACCCCAAAATCAATAGGGGTCATCTACTGATCATGACCAATCACCATATTAAGTTTGAAGTTCCTAGGCCTTAAAGTTCTTTAGTTATTGATCGGACACCGTTTTTGCCTACATGGTCAATGTGACCTTGACCTTTGACCCCTTAACCCCAAAATCAATAGGGGTCATCTGCTGGTCATAACCAATCACCATACCAAGTTTGAAGTTCCTAGGCCTAAGGGTTCTTTTGTTATTGTTCAGAAACCGTTTTTACCCAAGAGGTCAATGTGACCTTGAACTTTGACCCCTTGACCCCAAAATCAATAGGGGTCATCTACTGATCATGACCAATCACCATATTAAGTTTGAAGTTCCTAGGCCTTAAAGTTCTTTAGTTATTGATCGGAAACTGTTTTTGCTTACAAGGTCAATGTGACTTGACCTTTGACCTCTTGACCCAAAATCAATAGGGGTCATCTACTGATCATGACCAATCACGCATACCAAGTTTGAAGTTCCTAGGCCTTTAAAGTTCTTTTAGTTATTGATCGGAAACCGTTTTTTTTGATTACAAGGTCAATGTGACCTTGACCTTTGACCCAAAATCAATAGGGGTCATCTACTGATCATGACCAATCACCATACCAAGTTTGAAGTTCCTAGGCCTTAAGGTTCTTTAGTTATTGATCGGAAACCGTTTTTGCTTACAAGGTCAATGTGACCTTGACCTTTGACCCCTTGACCCAAAATCAATAGGGGTCATCTACTGGTCATGACCAATCACCATACCAAGTTTGAAGTTCCTAGGCCTAAGGGTTCTTTAGTTATCACTCGGAAACCATTTGGTCTACGGACCGACGGACCGACAAGTGCAAAGCAATATACCCCCTTTTCTTCGAAATGGGGGCATAATAACAACAAAACAACAGAAAAAAACAACATTTTTTTTTTTCAGCTGACAGAAAGAAAGGGACATATCCTATTCTTACAGAATCTCACACAATCCATAGGTCGCAGACATTGTGATATGCATGTATCTTAATATAATTTTTTTATCAAAAATCATCTGTGCGTTATCCGACGGTGATGTTGTGTACCATTTTGCACATGTTTGATCAGTCACTACAATGTTATTCACAAGCATTTAGTAAATATATTGTTTTAGTTCCATGGCGGTGAATTATTGTGCAAGAGATATTTATGTATTAATGTTTTACATGCTTTTCTTGTCATGCTTAATTGTAAAGGCGGCAAAGTATTGCTATATAAATAGGGAAATTCTATAAGTTACGGGTAGGTGAAATAAAATTAGTAAGACTGATTTGTTAATAAAAAGTTGGTGAGTTAAATAATTGGATAATATTTTTGATTATTAAGTAGAATTGTTTAAATGGATTAATACTTATTGTGTTTAGTAAAATTAGATAAAATAAATTAATATTCTTCCAATGTCTGTGGACAGTCATGGATTATTCAATAAATTTAAAAGGAAATTCACGGCATTATTATGTATTCATTAAATACTTTACAATGCATTCATTCATTTTGTTTTCACAAGGATCTAATATAATGGCAGAACAACAAAATTAGTTGATGTAACATGAGACTTTGTTGATTTTTTTCTGATTTTTACACTGACTTTAACACTTTTTTTGGTCATTTCTAGGTGGTAGGTACACCCATTCGGCTTTCAGAGATAACTAATCAGTAATTATCAATTTCTCCACAAGTGACCAACAACTTATCTCACATGATTTTTGAATCAACAGTGAGACAAATAACCATTAGATACAATGTCTTAGGTTAATTGTCATGGACAAATAAACTGACGATCAAACAGGCAATCCCTGAACTAATCTGATACTCTCCTTATTGAGCTAAGCTAGCGGACAGGTAATGGGAAACTACTGTATTAAGATAAACCAAAGTAAGATTGTAAAATATAATAGCCCTACATGCAAAATACACCATGATTATTTTCTGCATTTTAAAATTTTGACTTTGCTTACAGGTAAAATGTTCAAGAATAAATACTTCAGAATGAAGATGTTAATGTCAAGATTAATGTTGTCAATAGACAGACATATAAACAGACAAGACGAAAAGCAATTTGTCACCTGATCTTCTAATGACACAGGGAGAAGGGGGAATTGGTGACTGAGGTCATAAATACCTTTTTTTCTATGTTTCTTGGGTAAGAACTTATAGCTTGTGGAACTACAAGGTATATCTTGTGTGTCCTCTACTGCCAGGGTTGATGTCTTTGGTGGGGAATTGACACCACTTTGTAAATCTGCCTCACAAAAGTCTGCAATCATGAATCATATTATATTTGCCTATATGTATATTATACCTTTGTATTCATAGGCTTTTCACAAACATGTAATTTGCATATAGGAAAAAACAATATATTGATAATTACAAGTTACATTGTATTTATTAAATGTAATGTTTTTATTTGAGCCGTGTCGCGACAAAACCAACATAATGGGCTTGCGACCAGCATGGATCCAGACCAGCCTGCGCATCCGCGCAGTCTGATCAGGATCCATGCTGTTTGCTATCAGTTTCTCTACTTGTAATAGGGTTGGTAAGCGAACAGCTTGGATCCTGATCAGACTGCATGGATGCGCAGGCTGGTCTGGAACCATGCTGGTCGCAAACCCATTATGTTGGTTTTGTAGTGACGCGGCTCATTCGTGTATACAAATATAAGTTTCAAGCTACACTGGTTTTCGTTTTTGTTTTTAAATCACACCAACATTTTTTATGGTAGAAAAGCTTTATTGGTGGAGATAGACCTTAGGTGCCCTTTCTTTGCAATATTTCAGGCACCAGCGGAAACCTAGAACCACCGGCCTCAGTAAGCTCTTTCAGATAGCTGGATAGTTTCCTCTAATGAAAGTCAAAGTATAAAGAGTCCCTTGCCGGACCCAGCAGTGAGGGGTTTGAAGTAAGCAACTTTAACCCTCGGTCACATAGGCCCTAAAACTTTTAACCATACAACAACTTTCAAGCCTTAGTCATAATGAATACTGGTAAAATTTCTGGTTGTCTCTCCAAAAATTATTTTACTTTTCACATACCATTACTGCTTTCCTTACTACATAATAACAGTAAAAATATTATGTTGTCTGTAAAATTTAAGCTAATAATATTGAAACCCCTTAGAATAAACAAGCAACTGCTCTGATTCAAAGCAGGGCACTGCAAATCCATTATTTCTCCATGTTTTGTTTTTTAACCTGTTGCGATATGTGTCCTACATTTGACCTGTTTTGTCTAAAGCAATAACGACTAACGGATTGGTTGGTAGAAATTTTCTATTTAAAAACTCTTACCAGTATCAAGAGATGGTAATGTTTCTGGATCCCTGCACCATTCAGAAAGTTCTGCAGATGGATCCAGGCTTCCATTAAGCCTATTGTTCCCAGCATTCCCTGTGCTTATCCCATTTTCATCTTTAAGCTCCCTGAAAACTCGGATTTCAGTTTCATTCACACTCTTTTTCAATTTGCTATTCTGTCCATCTTCATCCATTCTTTTATTGCAAGCATTATTTTTCTTTGGACTAAAAAATCCCTGAGTTAAGGTAGTCTGTCCTTTCAGTGAATGTTTCCTATTCCTTATCATAGAATCCTTACTGGGTTTCTTAAAGTCGCAACCTGTCTGAGAAGACCTTAAACTTGTTCTTTTTGTTGATAAAGATAGAGAACTTTGAGAATCACCTGAACTTTTCTTTCTCTGTGATTTAGCAGATTTCCAGTCAACAATTTCTAAATCATTGTCAATATGTTCTTTATATCTCTCTACTTTAAATATCAAAGGTGACTCTACACTTTCACTTGAACTTTTACCACTTGAACTACCAACAGTTATTACATCTAGTTTATCTACGGAACACATTTTACCACCCTGACCTAACAGAGAAGGTGATTTTAATGTTTGGTCATGTATATTTATAATCTGTGTAGTTTTAATTTCATGATCCTTAACATTATTGTCAGAACTTGAGTTATTCAGTTTTTTAATACCTTTTACTTTTACCTGAAACTTTTTACTGGGAATAACATTTCCATCTTTAACCGGCATAACATTATAGCAATCTATGGTCTCATTTTCATTATCCATTTCTTCATCAGTCACATTATGTATAATACCATCCCGTGCAACAGTTTCATCCATATCATCTTCTTCATTACCTTCAGCATGCAATGACCTTTCCTTACAACTTCCAGATCCGTTATCACCATTTGGATCATCACTGGGCTTTACATTAACCAACTTGGTTCGTACTTTTGTAGGTGTTCTTCGTGATCTTGTTGCTATGACAGGTTTATGTTTCCTTGGCGACCTTCTAAGTATCACTTCACTTTGCTCTTCCTTTTTCAAACACTCTTTCTTACCTTTTCTAAATAATGGTTTTCTTGTACCAGAATCTCTGTTTCCTTTTTCACTGCCTTTATTAGAGTCTGGAGTTTCAAACAAAGCATCAACCTCTTTAATATTTCTACAAACATTCCTTATGCTTTTATCCGCCTCTGTCAAACTCTCTACACTTTTTGACTTTGCCTTGAGAAATTTCTGAGAGTTTGGCAAACTATCAAAGAATGTGTCTTCTTCATTATCGTCAGAGTCTTTGACTAAACTCTCACCACAATCAATATCTACATTTGGTGATTCTCTTTCCTTTATATCTGAACTTTCACTGTCTGAACTTTCTAAAATACTTCTGAAACTCAGAGGAATCTCAATCTGCTTATTGACTTTACTTTTATCTTTCTTTTCAGCCTTATTTTTCATAGAAAATTTATAAGTCCTATCATTTTCTATATCTGATACAACTACCCCTTCATCTACAGTATCAGATTCCTCAAAATGTTCAGATACATCGAGTAGTTCTGGCTGAAACTTCTTTCTGTCCTTACCCATGTCCAATTTACAGGTATCTTCAGGCATGATTGTGTCATCCATATCGAAGGCAACAGTTTCAGGTACAACTACAACATTAGAAGTATTAAACAGCTTCCTATACAAATTATCTTCGCCTTCCCCTGCATTAGCTGTGTCAATTCCAAACCCTTTAGATACCACTGACTCATTTAGATCAGGTACACATGTATCAGCCACAAGTACTTTACCCTCAGAACTGTTTTTCTTTATTTTCCTTGTCTTGTTTATAACTTTATTATCCGGATCCGGTCCTTGATTTGCTCGTTCAGCGTAACTTTCCTTCTTTTGAGCAATGTCATCTGAATTTTGGGCTGTTTTAGCTAAAGGTGATGAATGTCTTTGCTTTTTTAGGTCTGGTGAGACTTCCTGTAAAAAAGTAAATCTATATTATTTTAGTTATTCAGTAAATAAATATGTCTTAGTATGTGAACACTAGTTATCAATTAACATGTTTTTGCCCTTGTTAATCTGTTAAAATGATAATCAAAATATCTTGGCGCTTTACTAACTGTTCACAATGTTATCAAAATTAATGTAAACAAGTTAAGAATTAAGCTTTCAAAATGAGATATATGTTGTTGTTTTTTTCCATAATGCATATACCACTTATTGTTAATATTTACTTTTTTTTAATGAAAGGAATGAATAAAATTAATGCATAACATTTTAAAACAGCTCAACTAAAGACAGTGCTTAGTATCAGTCTAAAATTCAAATATTCCAAGCCTAAAAATATGCAAACTCATGTCAATTTAACGTTGTTATGGGCCCTACCCTTGAAAAAGAAGTTAAAATAATTAATAAGCATTTAAAGTTTTAAAGCCATATCTCCAAAAAAGGGCTATGATGGCCCTGAAATCCCTCACCAGAATATAAAAACTCTCCATGACAAGGAACAAGTCATATTGTAAACTATAAACAAAAGTAGATATAAAATCTAAATCTTAAACTAATATCACAAAGTTCACATTTGTATCTGAAATAGTGCATGTGTAAAAACATTTCTGGTTGCTATTGCTAATGGAAAACAACAGTTCCAAAAGATGTGTACATAAAAATAAAATCAATGACACCCCGGGGGCCAATTTAGACCCCAGGGCTTTTATTTGAACAGACTTGATAGACACCCATTAGAAGGTGTTCCATGCTTAATATCTAAGCTCTAGCGCTATTTGTGTTTTTTAAAAGAAGATTTGTTTATGTGTTTTCTGTCTACATATAAATAAAATGAAAAACTCCTGGGGCAGGGCCAATTTTGACCCCAGGGCTTTTATTTGAACTAACTTGGTAGACAATCACTAGAAGATGTTTCACGATAAATAACAATTTTTAAAGGTGACCGCCAAAGGAACATTCCTGTGAAGTTTGTTTATAAAGAGATGTTGTTTAAGTAAAAGTTTACATACACCGAACGAATCGTGATCACAAAAGCTCACCTTGTCACTTTGTGACAGATGAGCTAAAAAGTGTATAAAATAAGGCAGGTGTTACTAGAATAGAATTCAGATTATACCTCAGAATATCTGCTACGCTTACTCCTTTTACGATTTAACTTGAATTTTACAGCATCATCAGGACTAGTGTCAAACACTAACTCTTCTTCCAGGCATATCGGTGTTTCTCCAGTACCAAAATCTTTCCTCTGTTTTGTCTTATTTGGAGTGGTGCATGATGTTGAATCAGGGTCTTGCTCTTTAGACTCTACTTGTGACGTCTTTGGTATCGAAACGTTGCCTTTTACACATAATCTATGAAGTAAAATATTATAAAGTGAAGTGAACAAAGAAAGTAAGTTGCACATTGTGAACAGCATTTATAATCTCTTTAAATTACCAAAAGATGTCAAAATATGCAAGAATAACCCTTAATGGCCTTGTGACGTCTTTGGTATTGAAATGTTACATATAACATCAAGGCCGTCGTCGATGGTCCGGCCGGTCCGGCCTTGGCCGGACCAATATTTTGGCCAAAAATGAGTAAAAAAAAAACAAAACAAAAAACACGCATCGCTGATAAGCAATTTGACACTTGACTGGCCACTTATGCAATGCGCGGTTATATACAAACTTGACGTGAAGAAACAACTGGACACTGTTAATTGACCAGGTACTAGTATGCCTGAATTTTCCGAGAACTTGATAACATTTTATTGATTGTATACGGCAACCGTGTTCTGGTCTGCAATCGATCTTGCCATGGCCAGTGTTAAAGGGAGATTTGACCAACGGGGATATCCTGTATTTCAGAACGTGGAGGATTTACGTACTAAGGTCGCACAACCTTTGAAGACCGAGTACACTAGAGAACTTGGTTTTGTTTGAAATTCCTATGGTAACGACATTAACCGAGACATCTTAGAGGTGCAGCTACGGCCTTACCTGCTACGTTCACATTTTGACAAATCAGAAAATAGTACTGTTACTCTACCTGACGTTTTGAAATTTGTGTCAGAACAGTCAGTGCTAAAACGAGCACTGTTCTCTGAGGTCGTTGTGTTGTTTAAGATTTTGTTAGAAATGCCTGCTACTAATGCTACAAGTGAAAGGACATTCTTGGCGCTCAGAAGAAGAAAGACATACTTGAGATCGACAATGTCTCAAGTACGTTTGAACAATCTAATGGTGTTACATATTCATAAGTACAGGACAGATTCACTTAACTAACGTGTTATTGCAGATGAGTTCATTACCACCAGAGAACAATGGCGATGTGTTTTTGGAAAATTTACATAAAATGAAACTCTGTGTTGTGTAAGATTATTGTGAACAAAATACAAGTTACTGCTAAACAGAAAGTGGTTATTAGTGACTTGTAATGTACCTTAAATTTCTTCCATCATGTCATCGATTGATATTTAAGCCTATACCATTGTGTGATTTATGTTAAACAATAATCCACGTAGCTGTAATATTTCTTGTATTTGTTTATTTATAATTATCAGATAAAAATGCATCTAAAGAATTATAACAACAGTTAATTATTGTTTATTTTTCATTTGCCAAATATCAATTACATGTACTGTATTCATTTTTATGTACACCTGTCCCTCCGTTATGCGAACATTAAATTTCACCCTTAAAACTTACGGCGCACTTAAAAATGTAAAAAATCGTTGACATAAATTACTATAACATGTACTAGCGGCAGGCTGTAAACTGTGCCAAATATACGGGAAAACGCCCCTGAGAGCATCATAGAATAAAAAATTTTCCGGGGGAGCATGCCCCTGTACCCCCCTAGATTCTGGCTCAAACCAACAAAGTTGGCCGCACCAATCACAAAATCATGACGATGGGCCTGAACATATGACTAAAATAGTGGCTGAAAAATTATTTCACGTTATTACCCTGATGAAGGTCATTGTATGACTTTCATCTGTTGGCCAGCAGCACACCTCCAGATTTATGCTAATTTTCATGAAAATTTTGAAAATGTATGTAAAAGTAAAATATAATGAAATGAAGTGAGCAAAGAAATTTACCCATTCCAAGTGGCATTTGCAGTCCATGTAAATTACCAAAGAGGTTAAAATATGCAAAAATAGCCCTTAATGTTTTCATCACTCAGTTGTAATATGGTTATTAATACTGCAAAATCAGTCAATAATCACATATTACACGTAAATTATTACTAAATTATTACTTGTATCTTGAATATTTATTTTTACTTTTCTTAAAATTCAACTACATTTTTCTCAAGTCTTATTTTCTTGAAACATTTTGGCTCATGGTTCAATTAAACATAAAGCTTTTATCACAATGGAGATAAACAAGTTTAAATGTACAATAAATTTATACAACTTAATAGCAAAATAAATTATATCATCAATAATTAGCGACAACTGAGCTAAATTTGAAAAGTTTAAACATGTTGCTCAGTAACAACATTAATTGTTAATAATTTAATCTTTATGAATCAGTTTTCAAACATTACAATGTGACAGTCAAATATAACTTCCTCAATTATATCAAGTGTAACTATTTTTACAATAAAGTTACAATTTTGTTTACATATTGCTTCTTTTAAGCCACCCTGTTGCAATAAGATTCTCTGGCTACTTTCCTGCTTTACAGTTGGAAGGCAAGAGTGAGCACCAAAATAGAACCACCAATTTTCCTTAAAAGAACTGGAGAACCCTTCCATCAGTGCCAAGATCATGATAGGCTGTCTGATCACTGTCTGCATTTTTCACTATTCAGTCAGTACATATATTAATTTTTTCCTAAACAAGAGGGCCATGATGGCCCTGAAGTTGCTCACCTGTATATAGGCCCCCGTAGTTGGGCCAGTTTAAACCCCAGGGCTTTTATTTGAACAAACTTGGTAGACACCCATAAGAAGATGTTTCATACTAAACATCTAAGGTCTAGCTGGTCAAGTTTTTTCTTTACACATATAGTTAAAAACAATGACACACCTGCGGCAGGGCCAGTTTGGACCCAAGGGCTTTTATTTGAACAATCTTTGTAGACACTAACTAGAAAATGTTTCATGCTTAATATCTGAACTCTAGCTATTCGGAGTTTTCGAATAAGATTTTTAAGTTTTTGCTATACACATATAAGGAAAATCAATGACCCAGGGGTGGGGCCAATTTTGACCCCAGGGCTTTCATTAGAAAAACTTTGTAGACACTTACTTGAAGATGTTTCATGCTTAATATCTAAACTCTAGCTATTTGGGTTTTTTCAAAGAAGATTTTTAAGTTTTTGCTATACACATAAAAGGAAATATGTCCCCTGGGGTGGGGCCAATTTTGACCCCAAAGCTTTTATTTGAACACACTATATAGACACTCACTAGAAGATGATTCGTGCTTAATATCTAAACTCTAGCTATTTTGCGTTTTTTTCAAAGAAGATATTTAAGTTTTTGTTATACACATATAAGGAAAATCTATGACCCCCGGACGGGGCCAATTTTGACCCCAGGGCTTTTATTTGAACAAACTTGGTAGACACTCACTAGAAGAAGTTTCATGCTTAGTATCTAAACTCTAGCTATTTGGTTTTTTTCAAAGAAGATTTTTTAAGTTTTTGCTATACACATATAAGGAAAATCAATGACCCCCGGGGCGGGGCCAATTTTGACCCCATGGCTCTTATTTGAACAAACTTGGTAGACATCCATTAGAACATGTTTCATGCTAAATATCTTAGCTCTAGCTCTTTGGGTTCTTTAAAAGAAGATTTTTAAGTTTTTACTATATGCATATAGGGAAGATCAATGACCCCCTGGGGCAGGGCTAATTTTGACCCCAGGGCTTTTATTTGAACAAACTTGGTAGACACTCACTAGAAGATATTTCATGCCAAATATCTAAGCTCTAGCTCTTTGGGTTTTTTAGAAGAAGATATTTAAGTTTTTTCTTTTGGTTGCCATGGCAACCAGAGTTCTGCATGGAATTAAATTCTTTGAACAATTTTCAAAGGTGACAACCAAAGGAACATTCCTGTGAAGTTTGGATGAAATTGGCTTAGTGGTTTATGAGGAGATGTCATTTAAAGTAAAAGTTTACGGACGACTGACGCCGGACGAAAAGCAATCACAAAAGCTCACCATGTCACTTTGTGACAGGTGAGCTAAAAAAATGGTGAATGGTCTTGTCCCCATTGAAAGATAGAAAAGTCTGTGTAAGATATTAGGTAATTAGTGTTAAATTAGCTGGATATCTTCCTCAAATGAACGAATCCAAAATCTCTGCATGGGATTTAAACCCAGGGCTTAAGGAGCAAGTGATTGTAAGTCTTTGACTTTAACCACTTAGCCACAGATCCAAAAGAATTATAAATACCTACTGTTCTAAACTGTTATTTCCTGTTCCTCGTCTGATTCTGTACAACTCATCCTCTGCAAAAAGTAAATAAAAGAATTTTTAAGAAAAACTAGGTCTGTTCCAAAAGCCTGAAACTTGAACCTAAATGCAAGGAATCTACTATTGCACAAGCATGTATCAAAATCAAATCAATGGCGAGAGACAAATGAGCATTTGACTTGATGTCAGAGACCGAGACTAATTGTAATGGAGAAATTTCACCTCCCACACAGATTTAACCGGCAACTCCCAGATTACAAATTGGATGTTCTTCCTATTGACTAAGCTGACAATCATGCGTGCAGACACTCTAATATTATCAAGTTCTTAACATCTTCTTTATAGTAATAGATTATGATTACTAGACATAATCAAAGTGCTGAATGCACTGAATGCATCGGACATGCAATGCTATTTCTGAAAAAAAAAAAGAACACAAAAGATATAACAGACAATTTGTTCCTTACAATTTCGTGATTTGTTGAGCAATCTATTTTAGGTGTCCCAATCTTTCAAGCAGAAAGATTACAAACAGTAATTACAAACAATTATATTGTTTGCTTGCAAACAAATATAATGCGCAACAATAGAAAGGTATACATCTTTGATCAGCGTGAAGTGACATGTGAAAAATATACCCCGGTAGTTATTTTAATTTAATAAAATTGATAGAAGTTTACCGTAAATCAGATGACAATTAAAGTATACAACGATTATTTAGCAGTATAAGGGTTGAAATGGTTTGAAATATCTTTATTCTTAAATAAACATAATTAACAATTAAAAGTACATCCTAACAAACACAGATTACATACTTATCCAACAGCAATTTTATACAACTTGAAGACCTGCTAACCGTTATAATTTGTTAGTCGTTATTACTGTAGACGAAACAGCTCACAATGTAGGATACATATCGTATCAGGTTAGATAAATATTCTGCGGTTTTTATTCCTGGTGTGCCGAAACTGACCGCAGAAAACGCAGAAATAAAGTCACCACAGAAAATACCACTTATATGGTTTAAACTGTTTGTTATAGAGATTTATATATGTATACCTCATCGGCTTTTCGGTCATATGGTTTTGAATAAAATAAAAGTTTGAAACTTATAATTACTAACCAAGCTGATTAATCCTGGCATCTTTGTCTGCTAACATTTGTTTATACGATGATATAACAGTATCAAGGGACTGTCTTATTACTTCACAGCAGCTCCCATCTCTATAATAAAAAAATATTATACAATAATGAGTGAGAATTATTTGAAAACAGAAAAAGACTTTAGCAAGAGCTGTGTTGAAAATAGCACAATCAACTATTATCAGTGCTACACAGTTGACTATTATCAGTGCTTGACAGATATTTCTGTAAAAATGTAACTCAAGAGTTATAAAATCTTGGCCCATCATGTACGATAATCACAGAAATTAAGTGTATGAAGTTGCAACCCATTCTCTTCACTAGTTTTGGAGATACCAACTTAACAAAAAAATTAATCAAATTGTGTAGGCCATGTTGACACTGACATCAGGGTGAGTACAGTTACTATAGCTCTCAGAATAATATTCTCTGAATAGTCAAGCTACAACCTGATCCAAATTACCAGCTAAACAAGGCAATTTAATATCATCAGTGAAATGCGGTATTATATTTAAAGATATACTATGCTAATCTTTGAGTAAAACATTTAAATTGCAGATTGTTTTTGAAATCTATGAAGTTCTTACAGAATATTATGTCTAATTTGAATTCAACAATGTAAAAAACTATGTATTGGAAGCTACATTGCATATTACAGGTAAAGTAGAGTTGGTCCTTTCTTTATTAAAAAACTGCCTTTTGTTTTTAAAGACACTATCATTATATTCATTATTCACATCAAGGTAAGATATCCAGCTAGGTTATGGAACATTGATTGTTCTACTCAGGAGCCAGCTTGTGCCAGAAATAAGACGTGAAGAACTCTGAGGCAACAGTGGTCCTCCAGCACCAGTAAAATTAAGTTGAACAATTGCCAATATGAAATGTTGAGAAAACATGGATGAGAAAAAATTAAAAAAATATATCCTATTTTGTCCCGAACATTTAATTCTTTATTTCCGTATTCAAATATTCAATTACCCCCACCAGACCAGGGTGATTCTTGAAGTAATTGTAATTTAATTGATTACTGAGGCAAGACTGAGTACAATCAATCATTATCAAATACAATAAAATCTTTAAAGTAATTGTAATTAAATCAATTACTGATTCATGTAACCAGGTCTGCCCCCCCCCCACCTCTCCAAAAAACATAGAATAAACAAACCTGCTTTGCCTGGTTGTGATAGCTGTACTCAATTTTCTATTCTCTGATGACAATTCATCATTAATCCTCTCTAACTGTTTACATTTCTCCAAAATTCTACAAATACAATCAACATATTAGGTACATTCAATTTGGATTATATGTATATATATGTTTCAACTAGAGTGTTAACAAGGTTTTTCCATATTTGGGCAGTGTGACCTAATTTTTGACCCCAGGTGACCTATATTCGTACTTGACCTTGACATCATCATGATCAAAACAAACTTTCAGAGCCATTTCAAGGATATTTTGATCAAAACAATAGCCACGAGAGTGCCAACAAGATTTTTCTTTTTTTTAGCTCCTGTGACCTAGCTTTTTATTCAAGATTATTATAAACCCATGATCGAACTCATCCATGCAATTACTTAGACAAGCATCCTGACAAAGTTTGATGATGATCACGGCAAAAATTTGATCACTAGAATGTTAACAAGATTTTTTCATATTGGGCAGTGTGACCTAGTTTTTGACCCAAGGTGACCCATAATCCAACTTAGTGTTAACAAGAATTTTCTATTTTTAGCTCCTGTGACCTAGTTTTTCATCTGAGATGACCCATGTTCGATCTCATCCGAGCAATTACCCTGTCAAGCATCCTGACAAAGTTTGAAGATGATTTAGGCAAAAATATAACCACTAGAGTGTTAACAAACAAATGTGGACGGACAATGGACAACAGACGACGAACATTCAACGATCCTAAAAGCTCACCCTGAGTAAGCTCAGGTGAGCTAAAAATTTGAGTGGCCAATCATCAGAAAATAATAGAAGACAGTGTTTTTCATATTTGTAACTAATTGAGACATGACTTTCACTTTTGAGCAGAAGTCACCCTGAGATTTAATTATATAGCCCCAGAAAATGACAATTATATATTAAAGGCACATTATTCCTCAGAAATGAATATTTTTTTATTTCTTTAGAAAGGGGTAACAAGAATTTCATAATGTTTAAATAATGGTTTTAGAGAATGCTAGATGCTTGTTACCTGAAAAAAGTACCAATAAATGTGAAATAATGTGTCATAAAAGTGGCAAAATGTAAACAAAGTAGTATTTTGCCATCCATACAAAATACTAAATCAAAAGAAGTGTACTTTTTGCCAAATAAGCAACAGAAGTAAAAAAAATATGTTCAGGTAATTAGCCAATGAGTAACTTTTTGGAAACTATGAAAGTATACCAAAAAATAAAAAAAAATCTTTAATTTGAGAAATAACAATAAATGCATTTCTGGGCTAAAATGGGCCTTTAAGCATAAACTTGTACTGACAGCAGAAAACATTCCAATTAGGCAATTTAATACTTACTTTAAGTAAGCTGATTTGTACTTTGTTAAATTTGCATTCACACCTGAAAATAATAAAATTAAGATGCTAAATAAATTAAATCTTACATATAACTGTTAACTGTTAGAATGTTATACATATTCTAGAAGGTGTACGGACATAATCCCCTTCGGACAAAGTTCCCTTTCGCATACTAGGACAAAATCCTCTTCATGGGCGGACATTATCCCCTTCATGTTTTTGCAAGGCTTGACAAAATCAACTTACCTACCCAGACAAAATCCCCTTATTTCATAGGTTTCTAATGTATTATTAAGCTCTATAAAAATTGATTTTGTCTGACATTCATTATAGAATGGTAAGGAAAGTCCGAAACAGATTGAACAAAAATATTCATTTAAAGGCATTTATTCAAGTAACTTATGGTACATTGTGCATTTATAAAATTGTTAACATTCTTCTTCTACCTTATATACAATCTTAAATAACTTACATTTAAACTCAGACACTCCAACTTGTTAAAATCTTGCAAAATAACTGTGTTGATTGACCATTTTGTTGAAAATGAAAATACAAAATCTACAATGTACTGCTCTGCATGTTTAAATGATAATGTAAGTTATTCAAAATTGTATATAATGTAGAGGAAGAATGTTAACAAATAAGTAACGATTCGCCACAATAACGATTCACCACATAAGGATTTGCAGCAATGAAATAATGATTTGCCACAATTAAACAACGATTCGTCACAATATTATTATGACCATAATTTTCTTAGCTTGACAATATATATATATATATATATATAAATATATATATATATATATAGAGAGAGTGAGAGATGGATGAGAGAATAAATACACACATACCACCATATCGATATGCCTATTTACAACGACACAGCCCCTAGCAGAACAGTCATGAAAGCATAGCCACTGCTACTCTACCACAAAAAATGATTGTTTCAGGACAGCTTTATATACATGTACAGTTACAAACTGCACTACACATTGAAACTGGCTCAACATTCATATATAGAGTTCTTTCTCGGTTATCATGTCTCACAAATCAACGATGACATAATAATTATTTAATTTTCTTTTTCACTGATTGGGACCAGAGAACTATATATCTTTTTCCGAAAGTCAACTGGATCTGCAAGATTAAGTAGATCCGTAAGATACAATGAATTAAGACAGATAATGTATAAAGGGAGATAATTAAATTCAATACAATTGTACTCTCCCCTTCGTGGAAATTTATAAAATTGATTTACGATAATTGATTAAAGTACGCACTCAAAAAAATATTACAGAACATCAAACATTTTATGCGACTTTTTTCACCATTCATATTACGTTATTAAAGATAATTAAGTTGCTGATTGAGCAAACAAAAATCCATGACACGGTTCCCTTTGTAAATGAATTCATTTTCATGTGCTTTAAACCACATGTAAATTGCTTGATTATTAAACAAAAGGGCCAAGATGGTCCAAGATTGCTCACCTGACCCATCAAACTCATCTGAAAAATTACCTAGACAAGCATTCTGACCAAGTTTCATGACAGGTGAGCCAAAAATGTGACCACTTAGTGTTAACAAGGATTATCCATATTTGAGCATCGTGACCTTGTTTTTGACCCCAGGTGACCCATATTCATACTTGACCTAGAAATTATCAAAACAAACTTTCAGACCAATTTCCAGGATATTTTGATCAAAACAATAGCCACTAGAGCTAGTGTTAACAAGATTTTTCTATTTTTAGCTCCTGTGACCTAGTTTTTTTATCCCAGATGACCCATGTTCAAACTCATCCAAGCAATTACCTAGACAAGCATCCTGACCAAAGTTGATGATAATTGAGTCAAAAATGTGACTACTTGATTGTAAACAAGGTTTTTCCATATTTTGGCGGTGATATCTAGTTTTTGAACCCAGGTGACCCATATTCGAACTTGACCTAGAAATCATTAAAACAAACTTTCAGACCAATTTCCAGGATATTTGAATCAAAACAGTTTCCACTAGAGTATTAACAAGATTTTTATATTTTTAGCTCCTGTGACCTAGTTTTTCATCTAAAATGACCCATGTTCGAACTCATCCAAACCACAGACGCTTGTGGTTTGGAGCTCAAAACGCCTTTAAAATCCAAATAAAATGCATATTTGTCAATCCCAGGACATGTACTGATCATATATATCAAAAAATCTTAATATATGCCGTTTTGAAAAAAAATCATATTTCAACAACTATAATAATACACAAGATAAAAATGTTCGCCGGAAAAAATCCGCACCCCTACCGTCATAATCACCATGTATTTTAATCCATTTCCAATATTTTCACATAATCCTTTGGTCCATCGACACAGAAGATATAATTCTTCACGATGATGGTCAATTTTAAACTTCAGCGGTAATATAAACAACGCAACAGCCGAAATAAACATCAATATTATCGCCGTTTTTTTTTCAACGACAAAATCTTTCGATAAATTCAATGGATCTTGTGTATTATTATAGTTGTTGAAATATGATTTTTTTTCAAAACGGCATATATTAAGATTTTTTGATATATATGATCAGTACATGTCCTGGGATTGACAAATATGCATTTTATTTGTATTTTAAAGGCGTTTTGAGCTCCAAACCACAAGCATCTGTGATCCAAACTATTACCTAGACAAGCATCCTGACATTGATGATGATTGACGCAGAAATGTGACCGCTAGAGTGTTAACAAGATTTTTCTAATTTTAGCTCCTGTGACCTAGTTTTTCATCCGAGATGACCCATGTTCTAACTCATCCGAGCTATTACCTAGATAAGCATCCTGACAAAGTTTGATGATGATCGAGGCAAAAATGTGACCGCTAGAGTGTTAACAAACAAGTGTGGACGGATGACAGACAACGGACGACTGACATTCAATGATCCTATTAAAGCTCACCCTGAACTAGCTCAGGTGAGCTAAAAAATTATGCTGATTCAAAGTTAGTCTGACCCGCATCAAACCAAGTGTCATAAATCAGCTGTTCCCTCTCAGACCCCTAGGTTTCACGCTAAATTATTGCATAACATACAAATAAAACACAAAAGGCACAAGTTGCGGTAACATACTCTGGACAACAACTTTTTATGACCCAGTGACATCTAACCAATGAAAAAACTGCTGATTAATATCCTTTTATAGTGCTCAGAAATTTTTTCAAATCTTAACGTGATTTACTGACCGCACATTTTACACGACTATCAGTAAAGTTTGACACATTTGGTGGGGGAAAATGGAACGAATTAAATGTGCGTACCGCTACTACGGGCGCTAGTGGGTAATTTAATTGTTTCACTTTTGAAGTTTATTATTATTATTATCATCATCATTATTGTGTCATTATGCCTGTGTATAATTTTCCAGGTTTTATCATTAACAAAGGTTAACTTCTTTACACAGGGGTAAATGTAATTTTGGTAATAAAATTATACGTTTTTTATGTGTTTTTATTCAATAAAATCTGTTTTTGAATAATGTTCAGCATTAATTTATGTAATTTACGAATAAATATAAAATGGAAAACAGGTTTCATAAACAGTTTCACTGATTGAAAATAGGTGTGAAAATGTAAGTATTTTTAACATGTGGCTAATTGTTATAAATGTAACAAACAGTACCATGTTAACAATTTTCTAAATGCACGATTTGTAAACTAAAAGAGTAGCAAAGTCTGCATTGTTTGTATCATAAGTGTCACGATCACCCAGTGACTGATTGAACTAAGTTTTTACAGCAAACTGGCAGGAATAATGAATCATCGATTACCCTTTAAAGTATCTTTATGTACAGTATACACTTTCTTTAACAGCTGTTCCATCGTTTCACCACACTGTTGATTTGTATCTCCCATTTTTTACCTAAAAATATATGGAAAAAACATTTCCTGAATGGATTACACATGCAAAGCCAGTTTCACTGGATTCGTACTATTTCAAGTGCATAACTGCTATATTTCAGTGTGAGACGGGTGTTTGTAAGATCGCGAAAACTGTAGAAAATTAACATTTACGGCTGGCATTTTAAGAACACTCAAAGAGTATTGAAGTATTATAAGTAAACATACTTAACGTGAAATAACGACATCGTATTAGACTTCTTGAAGGAGGAAATATGCTAATAAATACGTGAATAAATACAGTCAGCCTCTCAGAATGTACAGTCAAATATCCCGGTAAAATTATGTTTACATAATAAAGTAGTGGATAAAGATGAGTATCCGTATATCCGGTAGACAGACGTTTCACTATTGAGACGGTTCACACCAAGACGGTTCACACCAAGACGTTTCACTCCCAAATGGGAGTGAAACGTCTTGAAGACGTTTCACTACCTTTTTATACCAAAATTATTTTGATACTTATGATATACGAAAATAGACCTAAAATATTGAATTGAATTGAACTAAAATAGACCTTAAATTTAAAAAAAATAAATTAAATAAATTAAGTATTATATAAACAAAACTTATGGAAGTCAAAGTCAAAACTTATGGAGAAGTTTCTGTTTAAATTGGCTGTTGTCAAAAAATATTTTTATGGTCCAATAAACCACTGATTAGTAAACTGTTGTTGCTTAATTGCAGTGTTTATACAACTGATTTAATAGTGGTGTCAAACTGCTAGTTGATTGTCTCAATGTTTATACAACTAATTAGGTGATAAGATAACACCATAATTACAAGTTTAAGTTTGTAAAATGGCTACTGTTTAATAAATTGATAAAGAAAATAATTAAAAAAAAAAATATTTTATACACATGTTTCGCATTTCATTGTTTCAGACTTACAAAAAAATCATTATATTGTCAATATATTTAGTATATTGATATTTTTTATTATAATCACCTCTGGTAGTGATTTCAATATTTAAACTGATACTTTTAATATGTCTTAATTTGTTGTTCTTCCTATGTTATTCTATTTTTTTTTTTAAATCTACTATAAATAGAATTTTCTCATGTTGTTACACTTATAATAAAAGTGATATTTCAGTCTTTTATTTACACCTCTTATCACTCAACCAATAATTAAATAAGTAATCTTCTAATAATTTGTATAAACAATACTTTTGAAATCAACAAAATGAAACATTAAATTGAATTTCATTTTTACTCTGTTTAATATTAATGAAATTAAAATTTGTTAACTTTTCTGGTAAACATCTCTAAAAATTGGGAGTGAAACGTCCATACAATTGACAAAATGGGAGTGAAACGTCTAGGTGTGAACCGTCTTGGGAGTGAAACGTCTCAATAATGAAACATCTTGGGAGTGAAACGTCTGACATTCGTATATCAGGTGTCTCATTTAATTTTGACAAATAAAATTGCCTATCTGATTATTTTTTCCACCTGGCAATAGACCCAGTCAACGTAAATCATGGTCCGAAATCCCCATTTATTGTCCGAATTGTCCAAAAATCTAGTCCCAAATGACTAAAAAATTTTGTCCGAAAAATTCGTGGGCCGAAATGTCCATACTTCCGGTACAGTACGTGTCATAGACAGGAAAAAGCAACACAAAAACTAGAAATACAAAAAAGGTGGAAACAAGGAAGTTGAATAAATTATTTTCTAAAAAGGTACATTAACACAAATAAAATAATCTATCAACGATTATCATACTTCATATATTGTAATTAAAATGTAAACTTCATTAATTTTACCTAAAGACAGATATTCGCTCATTAGTGAAGATGTAGCCGGTCAATTTATTTCGGATAAACTCATATTTTTGTATACATTGCTTGCAATGTATACAGAGTTATAGCTGTATTTCAGATTTAGTACACCTAACGTGATTTGCTGAACAACATCCACCTTTGGATGAAACCTCGATAAAAGTAGATCCTCATTTTGCAGGATTGTCACATTAAGATCACTTTTTATTAATATACTGTTTGCATAGTGGTCAATAAGCTTTGAAAGTTCAAAACTATGCACTTTCAGTTCAAATAAACATTTTCTAAACATGAAAGCAAAAAATATGAAAATTTCTATTTCATTCATAAAAGCATTGTGTAAACCTACGCTTCAAACTTCGTATCGACGCATGCGCGTGCAAGAATGAATGAATTACGACAGACTCTGTATAAAAATATGTCAAACACCCAAAATTAATATTAAATATGTTTAATAAACCATATTTACTTTTAAATATAGACTTGCGTACTTTTTCTATTTCAAACTGTTTTAGAAAACGAGCATATACAGATATATATGTCTTATTTAGTGTTATGTAACATTGTAAGCGTCTGTATGAATGGATTAAAGTTAACGTTCTGACGAATTGTCATATAATTGCATATAATAGGACCCTATCAACGTGGTGGCATCGGAGGAGTATGCAATTATTTGTTTCACACCTGCAGTGTGAAGTATTTCTGCCACTTTAGTGAAATATATCGTCCAAAAGCCATTTTCGGGAAGGGGAAGATTCGTACTCAATATTATTCGAACTAAGGATTTGTACTCAATATTATTCGAATTTAGCCTTCGTAATCGGTATTATTCGAACTGACAATCATGGCAGATATGTTTAGACCCCCTGGACATTTAGATGTTGAAATGGTAACATATCACATAACTTTATCAAATGGAAGCGCCAATGGAAATTTACTTTACCAGTGTTGACTGCCATTGGAAATGCTGAGAAAGATGAAAAGATACAAGTAAATATCCTATTACACTATGCTGGACCACAGGCGCTAGTAACATAATCAAATATTTTACATAATCGGTCTATATATGTATATAAAGATATATATAGACCGATTATGTAAAATATTTGATTATGTGACTAGCGCCTGTGTGCTGGACCTAAAGTTATCAATTTACATGGGCAAATGCAGAACATAAACTGAAAGTGAAAAAATTATTTGACAGAATAGAAAGCTATTGCAATCCTAGAAAAAATGAAGTGCTAGAATCACACAGATTTTGGGTAACAAATCCAGATAATTATTCATCATTTGACAGTTTTCTTACAGAGTTATGAAAGCATGTTGAGTCCAGAAATATATTTTGAAATATGTTATTTACAATCCAATCACTCAGTCAGGCTGAGCCACCCTTAACATTTTTTTACATAACTCCTTAGACTATTGATATATATATAAGGTAAAATTATTAGCCATATATCATTTATTATATGAGCTTATGATTGCATGGGCAGTTAAATTAAAGCCAGTAGTAAAAAAAGAGGGTTGACCTGGGATAACCAAAGTGAAGAGTGAAATATGATACTCAACACAGGTACATTCTAAATATTTAGATTGATGTTTATGATCAGATTTAGCACAAATAGTAAATTAATTTCCCCTGATACCACAAATATGAATTTATTTAGAGTCCTGAAGATCTTTTTATGATGAAATCTTAACTGAAAAACCAGGTTTAACTGAATAATTATAAAATTCCTTGCCACAATGATAACTAGAAGGTACATAAAGCCAGTCAAAAAAAATATTTCTATCCATATTCATCATTCCTGGACCTCCATCCATTTGATGAATTTCTCCAACTGGTAAATTTTTCATCTTATTATGTTTTGTTTGTTAATATAAAATATTTTTTATGTTTATATACAGCTAGAATAGTCTGTAATGGCTAAGATAGACAGATAAGAACAAACTTTTTAGTAAACATGAGTTACATCCCTTCAAATGGAGATAAAGATGAAACCCATAAGAAATTGCCATGTCTGACAGACAGCAAAATTATAAAATTCTGCAGGCTCAGTTTACTTAGGCCCATTAGGAGGTAGTGGTAATAACTGTGGGTCAAAAATGAAAAAATATCATTTTCAAGGGATGTTTCTAATATGATTTACTTTAAATAATGGGTCATTATCAATGAATGTTTCTTTGACTTCTATGCCCATGTGTAATAGATTGTTGACATTGCCAGCTAGATAGCTCAGCTGAGTGAGTCAGTACAGCCCACATACATGTATAATATTCTGATTCAGGTTTGATTCCCGGTCAAACTGCACATATTTCTCACCCTGTGATATTTTCACCCTGTTACTTTTAGGGTTCAATATATGTTTATGATGGTTCATAACTGAGTCATAAGTCAATTCACTTTGTTACTTAAGTGTGCCAATGAAAAAGGAAAAATTTCAATATGCTGTGGATTATGTCAATGCATAGAACTATGAGTCTGAAAATATTTAAGCTGTAGAGCTGCTGTATGGTATTCCAAGGGTTCTGGGTTTTTTGGTAGTTCTGAGGTATGGTATTCTGAGTGTCTCTGGTTTGAGTTTTAGTCAGGCTGCATTTCATTTTCTCACTCTTTGATATTGATAAATATTTTCAGCTCATTATTGGCTGGACTGCATATATTAATGATTTATTTGTATTAAATCAATATTGTTAAATATTTAGTTATTGTCTATATATGCATGTGATTTTATTTTTGATAAGGCATTGTAACAGTACTACTTCTTAATTTGACCTTTTTTTGTATTGGGGGAGAAGCCCTTAATTAACTCCTTACCAGTAAGTTTTATTGTACACGATGATGATAGCTTGAAAGGATTTAGCTAAAAAAAGATACTACATGAATTTTTTTCCTATTGGAATGGATTGTAAAATATTTATTGATTGTCAAAAAACTATATGGAGTTCTCCTCGGTGACATTAAACAGTCCCAGCTGGCCATACATGCAGGACCTTGCAGACCATGAGACAGGGTGGTCTGTACCAAGACATTGACAAATCCGATATCGAGACATGGTGGACAGGACAGACAGTGATGTTCAGATCCCCCACTCAGAAAGGAAGTTCCTAAGTTCCTGGTCTTCAATTACTTCATTTGCTTACTTGGAGTAAAGGTGCTGGAAACAATAGTATGATATCACAAAAAAGCACAGACTGTGATAAAAGTCAAACCAAAAAAGATACTATAAACTGAATTCATAGATTATATAAAAGAAATTTATTAATTCTTTAAGTTTATAGTTAACAAAAAAAAAAGATACAGAGTATTTAATTTTGATATATAGCATATTAACACACATAAAGTGCATTATGCCATATAAATTTCAACTTAGTGCTTAAATACTTTCTGATGAACTCAGTAAGCAAACATGATTTACTAATCTTTGGATTCCCACACTCCTATCCACCTAGCTCCAATGAGATCCACTTGGTTGACCATAACATGTACCATACCTCATATTGTTTGTTTACAGTTAGGAATGAAAAAATGAAAG